CATGTTTAAAAAAATGTTTGGCTTTATTTTTTGCTTGCCTACTTCATTATATTTATTTAATGTTTAAAAATGGCTCATAGTCATAGGAAAACAATGAAAACCAATCAAAATTTGATAATTTTTGGGGAAAGTGCAGAATCACCCACTGCATATCGTGTTTTAAAGAATTGCACATACTCGGTATCCATGCACACATCGACCTATTTTCACTTAAAAAAAAATCCCAGAATTGCACAAAAATGGCACTGTGCACTCCCTTGACTTAATCTACACATCGACCTATTTTCACTTAAAAAGTCAAACAAAATTGACAAAAATCCAATTCTTCTTACTCTTGTAAAAAGGGTGCTACTTTGGTAGACGGTTGCATGGATTTTGGCGATTTTTCTTTTGGCAAGTAGTACGACTTATGGTAAACCCATTGCTGGATAAATTATTTATGGTAACCGATACTTTGTTGTCATTTTATTTTTAAAATAATGCGTTTTATTATGCAAAAATTCAGTGTTTTAAATATTATTTATGGCTTCTAAATATTAAACATTAATTTAATTTTGCATTTTTATTTGAAATAAAACTTTTGTTGTTTATAATATTTTCTATAATTTTATGTTGTGGATGATGTAATCAATGACGTCACCTTACTTAAAAAGTAATTGGTTTTATTAATATCTATAAATTTAATCTAATGTTTTAAACATTATTTATGGCTGTTAAATATTAAAATACAATTTAATTTTGCATTTGTTTTAAAAATTATTTTATTATGAATGATTACTTAAATAATTTTAATTCTATGCATGATGTAATCAGCTCCCTGATTGGTTACTGAATATTTGTGCATTACCAACCCATTTTAAAATTTTATTATTCATTTCTTCGAATTCCTCAGATTTCAAATGGAATGGATATGTCCGTTTCGAAGATGAATGTTGTTATTGGTAATTACCAAGAACTATTGGTATTGGAATAAAAAATTGCCCTTTGAGACCTTATTTTGGCCAACCTGTCTTTCCTAATCAAAGATTTATTTATAAATTGTTAATAGCATCAAAGGAAATTTATTTTAAATTTTTGGAGAAAACCTCGCTCATTGCTTCTTCAGTTAAGTGCGAGAAATGTGGATCGAGCAGATGAAGATCGTTTAAGAGAGTTTTTTTTTTTTTTGTGGTACTTATCAATATATGACAGGTAAAATACTTAAAAAAAAATGTAAGTACATAATTTTCTTTTACTTCATAATTGTATACTTCAATTTTTATTAAAAAATTAATACGTTTTCAAAAATTCCTGAGCTATTTATTGCCAAATGTTTTGTTTTATGTTAAATAATTAAATCCTATAAAACTTAGGTTGATCTTTACAATATGGTAACTGGTAGTTTGGCGACATTTTGGAGGCGATAAAGGTTACTACCTGGCACTTTGGTAATAATGTGAGCAGTACTCAGTTCCGATTACGCATTATTTTGTGTGAGGGAAATCAGAGATCATGGCATATGTCGTGATATTAATGGACGAATTACGGTTCTTTAATCGGAAAAGGGGGGAATTCGGGAAAAAAAATCTGGAAATTTTGTATTTGGCTTTATTCTGTGTTGTGTGAAACAGTGTTCATGAATTTTTGGATCCCATGGCCGTAACTAAAGTGAATTCGAAATGGGTATTTATGTATGTATTAATTTAATGTATGTGCTCATTTATATTTTAAGTAGTGTTTTTTGAATTTAATTATATTTTAATTAAATGATAATTATTTTGTGAATTTTATGTTTTGTAGGAATTTCGTATATGTTTTAGTTGAAGTAAACGTGCATGGAAATAATTTAAATATCTGACACTAAGTCTTTGTAATGGGTTGCGGTATGAATTCATTGGTGACGTGTATAATGTAATAGATGATTTAGAGGTAAAAGTTTTTTGGATATTTTATTTATTTTATATGTGGAAATGTTCATTACTTTTTTCGCGATCAGGTAATTTCATATATGTTCTTTTTTACCGGGTTTAAAGATTGAGAAAATTGTCATGTATTTTCGTGAAAATTTTTTTAATTTATGAGAAAAAAGCAGTGTACATGGATATAGTGAAGAGTGTGCGCAATGCCATTTTTTTGTGCAATTCTGGGATGTTTTTTTAAGTAAAAATAAGTCGGCGTGTACATGGTTTTAGTGATATTTTTAATTAAATGATAGTTATTTTTGTGAATTTTATGTTTGTAGAATTTGGTATACGTTTAAGTTGAAGTAAACGTGCATGGAAATAATTTAAACATTTGATACTAAGTATTTGTAATGCTTTGCGGTATGAATTCGTTGGTGACGTCTATAATGTAATAGATGATTTAGAGGTAAAAGTTTTGGGATATTTTATTATTTTATATATGTGGAAATGCTTCATATTTGGAAAGGGTAAATACTTTTTGCAATCAGGTAATTTCATATATGTTCTTTTTACCGGGTTTAAAGATTGAGAAAATTGTCATGTATTTTCGTGAAATTTTTCTAATTTATGAGAAAAAAGCAGTGTACATGGATATAGTGAAGAGTGTGCGCAATGCCATTTTTGTGCAATTCTGGGATGTTTTTTAAGTAAAAATAAGTCGACGTGTACATGGTTTAGTGATATTTTAATTAAATGATAGTTATTTTGTGAATTTTATGTTGTGTAGGAATTTGGTACACGTTTAAGTTGAAGTAAAACGTGCATGGAAATAATTTAAATATTTGATACTAAGTATTTGTAATGCTTTGCGGTATGAATTCGTTGGTGACGTGTATAATGTAATAGATGATTTTAGAGGTAAAAGTTTTTGGATATTTATTTATTTTATAGTGGAAATGTTCATATTTGGAAAGGGTAAATACTTTTTTCGCGATCAGGTAATTTCATATATCTTCTTTTTACCGGTTTAAAGATTGAGAAAATTGTCATGTATTTTCGTGAAATTTTTCTAATTTATGAGAAAAAGCAGTGTACATGGATATAGTGAAGAGTGTGCACAATGCCAATTTGTGCAATCTGGGATTTTTTTAAGTAAAAATTAGTCGGCGTGTACATGGTTATGTGTAATGTTATTTTGAAAAACGCGTAAGAAGTATGCTATTGTTGCACTTTTTCCCAATTTTGCAGTGAATATTTGTCATGATAAGCATTTTGTTTGATAACCTTTCTAGCATAAGTGTAATTCGGCTAGTAGATTCTTGGAAGAAGTGTTAAGTAGATAAAAAGAAAAGAAACGTCTTTACTTCGTGAAGACAAAATGGCGGCCGGTTAAAAAAAAAGAGGGTTGCTGTAGGAGAGTTGGTCGCCAAAAAAACGCCAAGTTACCATAATGTAAAGATCAACCAAACTGGTTACCTCTAAATCATCTATTACATTATACACATCACCAACGAATTCATACCACAAGCATTACAAATACTTAGTATCAAATATTTAAATTATTTCCACACACGTTTACTTCAACTTAAACGTATACCAAATTCCTACAAACATAAAATTCACAAAATAACTATCATTTAATTAAAAATATAATTAAATTCAAAAACACTACTTGAAATATAAATGAGCACATACATTAAATTAATACATACATAAATACCCATTTTTGAATTCACTTTAGTTACGGCCCATGGGATCGAAAAATTGTTTCACACAACACAGAATAAATCCAAATACAAAATTTCATTTTTTCCCGATTTCCCCCTTTTCCGATTAAAGAACCATAATTCGTCCATTAATATCACATGACATATTCCATGATCTCTCATTTCCCTCACACAAAATAATGCGTAATCGGAACCGAGTACTGCTCACAATATTACCAAACTCCCAGGTAGTAACCTTTATCGCCTTCAAAATGTCGCCAAACTACCAGTTACCATATTGTAAAGATCAACCGAAAAAAGTAATGATGGACGAATGTAGGAACATTGATAGAGATGTTACAATGAAACTGGTGAACTCTATGCCCGGACATTTGAAAGCTATCATAAATACAGCAGGATATACTACAAAATACTAACTGAGAGAAATACTATAATATTTGTGACAACGTGCAGATTCCTGTAAAGCATAGGAAGACTTTCAGGAGGTACTTTTCTGTTACTTTTTTATTATTGATTTTCCAAAAAAAAAAAAAAAAAAAAAAGATATTTTAATATATCTATAAAAATTTAATGCAGTTTTGCTAAGAAAAGTTTACAGATAGTATTAAAAAATTCTCATTCTCAAATATTAATATTTATTAATGAATAATGCAATATTTCACTAAAACTCTTTAAGTGTATAAACACTTTTGGGATAGACTGTATATTGTAGATCTGATACTAATTTTATAGATATTAAAAAACTAATTATTCTGTTTAGTATATAACAAGCTGGAAAACCATAACTTATAAAGGAATTTTTAATGAATTTCTTCATACGAAAAAAACATGCAGGTATTAAGGTAATAATAATAATACAATTTAGAATTTTAATATATTTAAAATTTTGTGTATACATGCACAAATTTTTGCATCAAGTTCATTAAAGCCAATTAACAAACAGAATGTCTCAAAAAAGCAGAAAGATAAAGAATTATGAAATATTAAAACAAAAAAATCACTTTCCATATTCGATTATGTCATTTTAAACCCAAGGCATTTTCTTTCCCTCACTAGAGAATTCAATCTGAGTTATATTATATTTGCTTGAATACTGTGTTCCATCCCATAGCAAGTAAAAATCGTTTTTTCTCTATTGACATTAAAGCAGAATATGAGTATGATAAGCTGAATTACTAAAGCTGGTTAAATTGGAATATAAAACAAAAAGGAACTCGGAAGTGAAACTGCGCAACAGAAAAAGGGTAGTTTTTCAAATGCTTCTGCAGTATACGGAAGAATCTTACGCAATTAAAACGGATTATGAAGATTAGGTTTTACGCAAATCTACAGGATTCATTAAGATTAGGGAATGTATAGAAGTCTACGCTCACATACACATATAACTTACTTTTTTGATGTTTCTTTTCTCCGTCTTAATTTGCTCAAGACAGATACCAAATTATTATTACCAACAGTTTCAAATGTATTAGATAAAAGTTCTTTAACACTAGATCTTCGATTATTAGCTCGATCAAGTAGTACCTGAGCCATATTAAATGTTTTTAACAAATATTACATAATAAAGGTTACTTATTGAAATCAATTTTGGGGGAATATTGATGTGATAACATTGGTACGAATTTAGCTGCTGAACTTCAGCTACAGAATAGGAAAGAGAAAACAACGTTCGCTTTGCAGACACTTTCTAGACTAGCGTCTACATCCCAAAACGGCAGCCTATGAGAGAGGCGATTCTATTATTTCATCGGGAAGTAGGGAAGTTAGAATGGTTTTTTGAGGAACGCCAACGGCAGTGCACGATGTTTGCTTACATTAGGAAGTTCAGAAAATTGCAAAGGTGGATTGCCTTAGTTTCTGCGGTTACTTTCAGGGAAATATTAGGCAGATTTTTTTGGTTTTCTGATAGAGGGCAATAGATAATTTACCTTTATATCCGCGTTTATCTATTTAAACTCAAAGATTTAACGAGTGAATATATTCAACACAACAGAACGCAAGCTTAAGACTTGTAAATCTTTTAAAAAACAATACATCATAATTAAAATTATATTTATTTTAGTTATTATTAAAACTTTTTATAAATGCATATTATCATATATTAACAATTCATCCATGCATTATCTCATTATTTATTATAATTAGAAGAGAAAATATGTTTTAACAGTAATGTTTTAAAATTTACTGTTGTCTTTTAAAAGATTTACAAGTCTTAAGATTGTTCTGTTGTGTTTGAATATATTCGCTTCATCTTAAATCTTCTGAAGTTTAAATAGATAAACTCGGATTATAAAGGTAAATTGTCTATTTGCCCTCTATCAGCAAACCGAAAAAACTGCCTAATATTTCCCTGAAAGTAACCGCAGAAACTAAGGCAATCCACCTTTGCAATGAACTTCCTAATGTAAGCAAACATCGTGCACTGCCGTTGGCGTTCCTCAGAAAACCTACTCCTACTTCCTACTCCCCGAGGAAAATAATAGAATCGCCTCTCTCATAGGCTGCCGTTTTGGGATGTAGACGCTAGTCACTTACAAGTAAACAATCTGCATCCTACGCGCGTCCCGTACTTTGCGCATGCGCATAAAATGTCCTTTTAACTGACTGATCTTCGTCTGAATACCATATTCCAGCTTTTTAGTGTCGCATTAATGTTTATAAAATTTAAAATAATTATAAAGTTTTAAATCATAAACTTCAAAAAAAAAAAAAATCAAACTTGATTTTCCTATCCCTAACTCTCGACCTAATGTAGCTCCCCTCTAGTGCATCATGATAACCAATTATGCAATTTTTCTATTTCTGCTCACTACTTAGATATTTTTTCTGATGTGGAGGTACAGTCTGTCAAAAAAGTATTTGAACACCGGTACCCATCTTGAAAACGCAAAAATCACTAAAAGCTGTTTAACTTACCAAGTGAGTGTAATTTGCTTCTTATTCGTTAATGTTTCAATATTTGAAAACTTTTTAAAAGTTAAACAAAAAGACAAAATAACAACACAAAATTTCCGTAAAAAAACAGTTTTATTGAGTTCCAATAAATAAGAAGATATACATACATTTTTTTTTCATTAAATATGATTCTCAATGACGAAAGTCTAAAATCAATGAATTATATTAAATATATAACACAATGCTAAACTAAAGATGAGGAAAATGACATAAATTCTTCCCACATTTTTTCTTCTTCAGGATTTGTTTCCGTAAAAGAAGGTACTTGTACAACGGTCTGTGATAACTGTGATGACGAGTTATAAGAATTAATGTCCATCATCAAAAAGTCCCAGTCATCAGACAATGAATTTGTTTGAACATCACTTGTTGTATTGTCGTGTACCTCTCCATGTAATAAGGCCTTCTGGGTTTCTGTAATTAATGAAGGTTGCGAAAAAAGAAGCTCCTTGTACAACGGTATATATACTCTAATTGAGATGACGAGTTGTACGATTTAATGTCCATATTATAATCGCTTAGAGAACCCGTCAAAAAGTTCCAATCTTCCACGGGTTTCATTGAAATTAATGCAGAGTCCCCGATGTAACAGTTTTGAGACTGAACGTCATTATAACTAGTTGTGGAATTGTCGCTTACCCCCCTGCTTGTAATGAGGTGCATTGGGTTTGTTTTAAACATAAAGTCTGCTGAAAAGAAGATTCTTGTACCTGTACTAGTTGTGGTGATGAGTAGTTGAACGCTTCAACGTTTGTATTACTATAATCATTTAAAGAACTCATAAAGTTCCAGTCATTAGTCGTTTCGGTTGAAACTAATGCACAGTCACTTGGTGTAATATTTTCAGTCTGAACACTACTAAAACTTGTGGTAGGATTAATACTTACCTCTACTTGCAATGAGGTATCTTGGTTTTGGATTTCAGAGTCCGTATAATTAGACGGGGTACCTTTTTCCCATGTTTGTTCGTCTAAATTAAGTATTATGGTACTGTTAATGGGTTCTATAAAATTTTCCGGTACCAAAATAGTAGTTGATGTTTCAGTACAGGCTGGTTTCTTGACAACAGCAGGAGGGGGTGGAAGTGGCTGTTTAAATACTTCTTCTACCATCTTTTCTCCTTCTTCCGCCCTCTTGTTGCTCCCCGTTTCCTCATCTGATAAATACTGGTAAAATTCGGATTCTGCCTTATCAAATAATTTTGCAATTTTCGCTTTTGATTCCGCTTTCTCACTTTTCCTCTTTTTGGGGATCGAGGTTGACGTCCACTTTGCCACTTCGTCTAAATAGGGAGTCGCAGGTGGTTTCTCATAGGGGTCGATAGGTTGATCCTTTGAGAGTTCAAATTTCGTATAACTTCGTGGGTTTTTGTATTTTATGTTCAGCTTCTTTTTTATCTGTACTGCTAAAGCAGCAGCACACCTGTCCACCGCGAACAATGTTTTCTGCGTAGTCAAAATCGTATATGCCCTATCTGATGGGATAAGGTACAGCCTATTCGGTTGAAAAATGTACCTTTTAAATTTAAGTTCGTCTACAGGTCTAAACATTCTCTCTAACATAGAGGAATTGTTGGGAGAAGGGCAAAGTTCATAATATACCATAGGTGCTGCAGACGTTTGATAAATATGTACTTCTCCCTTTCCCGTTCTTCTAAGTCCAAAAGTAAAGTAACTTTTGGTTAGAAACATATTGTTCCACCTGAAGCTCGTCCTGGTGTCCGTATATTTCTTTTTCTTTTCTGCACTCGAGGATTTCACAGGTAGACGAAGTTTCTGATCGATTTTGTTCCATTTATAAGGATCACACACACTCACGAGCTAATCTTGAATCGAGCATAGTCCGTTCAATATTTTGCAAAATTAATTGAGTGGTATTAATTGGCTTGTAGTACAATTTTCTCTTATCCATGGGTATATGAGGTATAAATGCGCAGCAGTAATCTTTAAAATAATCATCATTAAAGCTGGACAGTCGTTTAAACTCGTCAACGGACTCGATACATTTGGAAGGAAACACATCGCATAACTTGTCCATAATGGCTTTCAATATGTAGCTAGTCAAAGAAGCTCAGCAGGCAATGACTCGTAACGCTTTCTATCCTCCCGTTTTATACCGCATTTCCAATTTCCTGTTTTGAAGCTCTTTTCTCAGAAATCGAACTGTATTTTTAGTTTCCTGTTTTCAAGCTCCTTCTCCCATTTCTCCCATTTCCTGTGTTAAAAGATACTTATCAAACATGAAGAAAAATGGCTTAAACTTGACCGTTTAACAATTAAACATGTTGTATTGTTTTATTTTTTTAGGGGGGGGAATCGGAATCGGAAAAGTTGAAAAGAAATTTTCATCTTGAGGAAAAATTTCTGAGTCTAAAAACTTTAAAAAAATATTGGCACCGTGACAACAGAAAATTAGAGGAGAGTATAATAATATTCCCTTCTTTTTTATTAATTAATTTTTTTTCCAAAGTACTGAGAGGAAATAAAAGAATTCTTATTGTAATCTCATGTCATTAATCCATTGTTTTACTCCTAATTGTCAATCATTTAGTTGATTAGGCCGGTCCAATAGATATTCCTTAAGATAACGAAAAAAGACGACGGCACCTTGTAAAGCACAATAATTGTTCAATCCTAAATGTTTCAGGCAAGAATATGAATCTGAAGCTAAATTACTCTGACATACATTAATGGACATTAATGATAATGTATTCTCAACATCCCGATCAATTATTTTTTTGTAAAAGATTAGCTTTCCAATATTCTGGACAGTAAATTTTACTATAACCTGCCGTTAAAGAAACGAGAAAGGATTGTAACGCTTTGTAAGGGGATTGCCCTCATTCCACGAAAATCCGTGTGTAGAATCGGCTAGGTGGAGGTAGGTAGAAACAAAACGTCGTCTTATGGAAGGTGTTAAATCACTCCATGCTTTTGGCGATTTAACGTATACAACTCCTCTGGCATTATCACTCGAGATATATGCAAGTTCCTTAATTATATACATTCCTAACATATCATGGTAATTTTCATCATTATGTTGGACCAAATCAAAACCTTCTATGTTAAGAACAATGAAGGAATTCATAACAATAAGTTGAGCAGACTGAATACCAATAAAAAAATCCTTTATAAAGCGATAATTTGTATACCATACATTATTTTTTTTTCTTTGCAAATGTCATTACTTTAAATTAATCTCAAAAAAAAAAAAAAAAAAATTGGGTTCTAAAAATAGATTTCCATTTCAAAGTAAGTAAAAAGTTTAGACATCAAATTATAAAATAGGAAAAAGGAAGAGTTTTTTTTTTTTTTTTTTTTTTTTTTTTTTTTTTTTTTTTTTTTCCTGAGAAAAAAATTTCTCCAGCCGATTTTTTACTTTACCATTTTTTTTACATTGTTGACCATTTTTTTACATTGTTTACCATTTTGTTTACTTGTTTACCGTTCAGATATTTTCCCTCAAAAAAGCTTTCTTTTCTACTCTTCTAAAGGGAACCTCCTTACCTAACCGAGATTATCTCGATTCGTCTCGGGGATTCATTTTTTTCTCAAGATAACTACCATTGGGTCTTTTGCTTTTCATGCCAAAACCTTTACAAAAAATACATTCATTTATTTAAAGAGATAAGATACTGATAAATATTTCTTAATTCCAATGTTGGGTGAAAAAGGAACCCATTTTTTCATCTCCTTATCAAACTCTCCAGAACTTTGAATAGGGAAATGA